CATCTATCTGATCATTCGTACTGTAATTTTTGGTTTTCAGTCGTCGGGTACGACAACCCTGCTGATCTGCGTGCGGTACTAACGCACGACCACCATTCAGGCGTCCCTTGCCCATTTTGCACCTATTCGCAGTTGGGGTCGCAAATAGGTGCTATCTCACTAGGCGTCAAGCGGCCTGACATGCCCACCTTGGCGCCTCGTGATCATGGGCTCTCGACTAAGTCCTCTTTGTTGACGCGGCCATGCCGGGCAAACATAAGTAACACACCGATCTCCTGGGCGGATGTCCTTTTCTGGTCTGCAAACCAGCTGTCAACTGCCCACAGCTTTCTGGCTCCTGCCATAAGACGATACAAAGCTTATTATATGTAGTTACAAGTGGTCTGATATGCTTGACTGCCAAAGGAAAGATTTCAGAAGTCGGCGTGCCTTTAACCTACTCGTAGATTAAAACAGACCTCGGGAGTTGGAGAGGATGTGCTGATTCGCTGCGGGTGGCGATTCCGACCCATTCGGCTCTTGAGTGAGGCGGACTTTTCACTCGAATAAACTCCGTATTTCATCGATAGAGTTTGCTTCCCAATCATTTTCTAAAATTCGCCCGTTTCGCATGTACCTTCAAATCCGATGGTTTGGGCTGCGCCGTTTGGTTTAGATCTGTTTTATGTGTTTCGTCACTGAGACAGTGTCGTTTGTGCGACAATGTGTTTGGGTGCATTGATTGTTCAAATTTGCGCTAACACTGGGAAGAGTATCTTTCGTTTATGGGCCTGCTTCACCGTGCCTGTAGGCAACGCATCCCAACGTTTCTTTCGCCACTCTTTTCGCTGCATACGCTGCTAAACTGGCTTTTAGTGCGAGTCTTGACTTCTCTAGACAGCCCTCAATGCCGTAGAAGGCGAGTTGGGCGTAGTGACTGTCACCACTGTCACCACCAAACTTCTTCGTCTGGGTTGGATGGGTTGTTAGCTTTGACTGTTGATTGTTGCCTGTTACATGTTGGTTCCGTGGTTGGTATTGTCTCCGCACCGTCTTTAGTCTGTCTCAACCTAGCCGGCATCTATATCTTGATTGTTCTGCCGAAATGCTGTTGTTTAATCTGAGCACATTCGTACTTCTAGGTTTCTGGATCATGTTTTGGTGTGTCTAAAGTCTTTTCCCTAATGTTGCAGTCATCTCGACGGTCGTCTCTTGTGAAATGAGAAACAAACTCGTCTATTTATCTATCCGAATCCTTTTCGTTACATTTTTTCTCTTCAGATTTTCCAAGCAACTCACTGGAGTATTACAAGGTCTAATCTGTTTGGATCGACTGGGCGCCACCGGAAGCTTTTCATCATCGCGACAGTTTTAAGACTCGACATTCGCAACCGGGCTGATGTCAGGGTATGTTTCCGAACATCATTCTTGGACGGTTTTCTAAACTGGGCCTAAGTCTTGAGGGTAAGTCGGTGTTGCTTTCTAATTTAATGTGGACATAGGCCTCAGTACGGTACGAAAACAGGTTGGATGCGAACTATAATTTATCTTTAATTTGATGCCCGGCCCTTTAAGTCTATGTTGGTAGTGTAGGGATGGAAGTTGCGGCCCCTGCCAGCACCAGCCCCGCCTTAGTCCCCTCAAACATAGCGGGGCTTGAGAAGGCTATGAAGTAGCTTGGCGGGGCTGTAGAAAATATGTACAATCATAATAAATGTCAGTGAATTTATATACACTGACTGTAGCATTTGTTAAGCCATTCGCTTGGGTGTTCCATCGACGGCTAATTCCTATAGGTGAAGGAAAACAATTGTTGGGAAAACACATGGTCGAGCGATGCATGAGACACTGCGGAAGGGAATTAATGCTCCAAAATTTGACTAAATATTTTCATGCCAATGAAGTTTACCATAGTAACATGAAAATTTAACTTTAAATATGTAAATTTCAATGATAACAATTACCGTATCTTCAGGTGGCGACAGTATGGGGCAACGTGTATCATCGCTAGTCCCTCCAGTTGTCTCCCGGCGTTTAGCCCGGCCGCCATACCGGCCCCTCGATCCATGAAACCAGTCAGTGTCCGTCTTGCGAACCATTTCGTGGACGCAATCATTAGAGGTAGGGTTCAGGCGAATGGCATCTGAACGGTTAACAAATGAGGAAAACTTACCACACAGGAGTGCATATAAAGGACTACCAACAAAGGATTGTTTCCCCATTGAGCCACCCCAACAGTAGTTAAGGCGGAGGGGTGGTCCCGAGGAGATTCCTCACGAACTCCTTGTTACGTCTGCCAACTGAGACAGGTTGTTTCATCTATAACCCATGGAGAGTAAATAAGGCTGTATATTTACATACTACCCCCTACCGAAATTCGGCCCCATCATTAAGCTTGTCACCGAAGTCCTCGTAGGCGTCCTTGGTGCATAGCGGCAAGCGCAGTGCAGGAGGTCTTTGACAACGATGGTGACGGCATGTATTTGCCCAGGCTTTTCAACCAAGAGTGTCGTAAGAATACTCGTCTGGTTCTGGGCTATATTGTCGACTTTTTTACAAAGTGAATTTAAATAAGGCAAAGGCGACAAAGCATGCAGTATTTACTGGCGTCATAAATTTCGAGACCTCTCATTCAGCTGCGTCTCGAAATTTATGACGTCAGAAAATACTGCATGCTTTGTCGCCTTTGCCTTATTCAAATTTATTCCGGGAAAACATTGCTTCAAAAATGAACTTAAACCGCGTAGAGAACACGTCCCTACCGCAGAGATGTCAAATCCCTGTGTATTGATCTGGATATGTCACTCTGCGCCACAGAAGAATCCTTTTCCGTTTGCAGTCTCAAATGGATAATAAATATAACCAGTTTACTGAAGTGAGGGGACTGCTGAAGGTGAAGGCCTGCCCCATCCGACGGAGAAAGAAGGTACGTTTTCGTCAAGTCTTGTCCTACAAACCGTCAGACTTACTGCCACTTACTGAAGTATGGGTGGTGGTGGTGTCGGCCAACCAGCTGGTCGCCTTACAGGCTGTCGTTCCACTATGTTCTTGTCATCATCATCATCCTCCGAATCAGAGGTTAATCGGCGGAGAAATCTGCAAAAAAATATTAATTACAAGTGAAACCTACTTCGTTCACTAACCTCGGCCCTATGTGTCAGCCGCCGGCCCGCACTCAGAGTCAGGTTGTCTTTTAAAATCCTAACAAGATATTCTTTCGTCCCGCTGGGCGGCGGCTCATTCCGTTCGAGAAGAATGTTTCGCCGTCTGTCATTCTTCAACCGCATGACGCAGTTTTTATCATAGAACCACGTCTTGGCTACGACTGTGACCGACTCGTCGTTGATGAACTCAACAACGGAGTACATCTGCGCCGACATGTACGCGTACACTTACATTTCACCAGTCGTCTAGTGTCAGGGTTTGGGAAAGATACATGACAAAAAATCACTGAGGCATGAAGTTGGGCGGATCACCTTGGCCGCAGTCGCCACAAGTGAATCAATCACCGCATGACACCCAGACAGACAAGGTGCGTGTAATCGACTTGAAATGAGGCTACCTTGTCGATTGGTAAATCCTAAAAAGCCCACCTACCCTTGTAGTGCAGTGCCTGGGTTCGGAACCGGAATGACCTGCCCTCCCGCAACCGGACACTGTACATGGGAATGTCACGCGGTTGGCAACGGTGCGCTCAACATAACAACACCTGCAGTGACTGCTATTATCTTTACGAAACAACATACCTGTCGCATCCGTAATAGCCATTATGCGCTTTCACCTGCCTGGCATAAGATCGAGCGGGCGTATCACAGATGACATTCTCTAGGGCTTCCCTGATAACCCTTCCTGTCAATATAACACACAGGCCAGTAGCAAGTAGTTCCTTCAGTCACCCAAGAAGTTGTCCATGGGCTCCGGCTTACAAAATCCAGAAAATACGCCGATAACAAAGGGTTTTCCACCCACCGGGTGGCTGATACGACTGAGTATTGTCCATAGGCACTGGTTATACCCTTTAAAATCGTTCATTCCGTCGATGTGCATTTGACTGCATATGTCAGAAAGATTTGTTATCGGATGAAGACGAAGCTCATGGAGCAGACCGTCTGTGAGACTCAAATGAACGTAGGTGCCGTTCTTTAGAGGCATCTTATCGGTCGCTCAAGGGGTTTGCAATAGTGTCCGTGGGTCCTTAGGTACCTCCAGATGAGAGAGTCACAACATACTGAACAGCTTCTTAGTAGAAGACGGAGACATTTGCACGAATGGAGGAGAATATGCGCATCCCAGGTTCTTGTTTAAAAGAAGAAGAAGGCGCGATCACTGTGGAGTACTTTCGACTCCTGTTCGGGTTACTCACACAGAGTCTGTTGAACCTAGCTGCTCTCTAGCCTGTCTAGATTCAGTCTCCTGAGTCGGCTTACTTCGTGCAGTCCGTACGCGGAAAAGATGTAAATAAGTGCAGAATTGTACGGAAACACGGTTCTGTAATTGGCATGATTAGCAAGATTTAAATGTTACACTTACAACCAAATGTCTCCAGGCGTACAGTCAGAAAGATGTGGCGTATAGTCAGACGGGTAGCGTCAAGTTGCGCGGGATGTAAACGGGAGATTCAAACAAATAGTACGAGGGTTGGGGGAAAATGGAGGGCATAATTTTCCGAGGCAAACAAAAAGAAATGTAAAGTATGTGTTTAAGGGTGCCAATAAAAATGGGAAAACATACGTGGGAACGTACACTCCCACCCAAGATTTGCGGCTGTCGTTGGCGCGGATATCATTCATCGCTTGGTTCGTGGTTCTCTAACAGACACAAACTGCGCACGTCTCTCACTAATTTCCCTTGTTGCGTGCTCAATTCAACATCTCTCACCCTTCCATCTTTTGATTCGAGCAGCTTTTCCACTATGGCCTTCTTCCAGTGTCCTCGTGGCGCTACTTTGTCAATTACAAGGACCAGATCTCCAATACGGAGCTGTGGGGCCTCACAGATCCACTTTTGTCTAACTTGCAACGATGGTAAGTAGGCACTGATCCACCTTTTCCAGAATATATCAGCAAGATGTTGAGCTTGGCGCCATCGTCGGTTAAGTCTAGAGGGGCTGCATTCCTCAACAGATGATGAAAGGTTCCGAGTACTCAGCAAAAAGTGTTGGGGAGTGAGTACAGCGTACTCGTTCGGGTCCGTACTGTTCTTAACCAGCGGCCGTTCATTCATTGTCTTCTCGGTCTCGTTTATGGTTGTTACGAAGACCTCATCTGTGACCACTTGTGAACCCAAAATTGAACGTAAAATCCGTCTGACGGACCGTATCAGGCGCTCCCATTCCCCTCCCCGATGACTCGCTGTCGGCGGCGTGAAGACCCAATCGCATCCCTTCTCCGCAAGAGAGCTAGCTATTCGATCCTGGTTCTATTTCTTCTACAATTCCTTCAGTTCGTTCTCAGCCCCTTTGAAATTGGGTCCGTTATCACTGTAAATTTTTCGTGGACGGCCTCTCCGAGCTACGAATCTGCCGAAAGTACACAGAAACGAATCAGTCCCCATGTTTGTGATCACCTCGATGTGAAGTGCGCGAATGCTGAGGCATGTGAACAGACAGCAATACCTCTTTTCCGACCGTCGGGCTATTTTTACCTGAAATGGTCCGAAGTAATCGACCCCCGTGAACGTAAAGGGTGGATTATACGGCTCCAGTCGATCAAGCGGCAAAGGAGCCATCAACTGTCGACAGGGTTGCGAGTGCCAGCGCCGAAACACAAAACAAGACCCGACTACTCTTTTAATGAGTGCTTGGCCTCGAATTATCCAGTATTTTTCTCGAAGGATGGCACTGGTGTGTAATATCCCTACATGACCATTTAGATGATGAACATATTGCACGATTAACCGAAATACGAAATGATTTTTCGGGAGAATAACCGGGTGTTTCGTTTCGTACGGAATCGGTGCGTATTGAAGTCGCCCTCCCACTCTAATCAGACCGTTGGAGATGAATGGTGAAAGGTGCTTCAGTGGACTGTTGATCGCCCTCAATTTCTTGAAATCAGTGTTTCTCAGATTGCTGTGTACGCACTTAAGCTCGTTTTCGAAGAATTGTCTCTGAAACAACCCCAAGATATCGCATTCGGCACCTTCTAAGTCTGCCACGGTAAGTTGCTTGGAGACGACTTCTGGTTGATGTGAGACCTTATTTTTCAGGAAGACTTGAAATCGTCGTACCCAAGCAACAAGTCTTAGCAGCTTTCTCCAGCTACCGCAGCCCGAAAGCTCCGTTAGCCAGTGATCTTCAAGAAGAACAGCATTTACGGTGGCATCGCATATTTTTGGAACAACAATGGGTCGTTGATCTGGTTCCTTGGGCCATTCGTCTGATTTCTTGCTTAGAAAGACGGGACCCGTGAGCCACATACTCTTTTCCAGCCTGTCACCAGCTACGCCTCTCGAAGCTACGTCAGCTGGGTTAGTCTCGGAATTTGCATACCGCCATTGTGAAGGATCTGATAGGCCTAATATGGTAGAGATGCGGTTAGCCACAAACGTTTCAAGACGTGGTGTTCCTTATCAGTTGTAAGACGACCATCGAGTCCGTCCACATAGTCTTTGAAGAAATTGGTAATGTTAGTTCCAACTCTGCCTGTTTCACTAGTTTAGCGACCAGAACCGCAGCGGTGAGTTCTAACCGTGGTATGGTTTGGACCTCGAGAGGCGTGACTCGAGATTTGCCCCACACAAACGTCGTAAATGTAGTGTCATCTTTGGTCACTGTGTGAAGGTAGACTACGGCCCCGTACCCGCGGTTTGACGCGTCCGAGAAACCGTGTAGTTGATACTGCTCGACAATATCCAAACCGATCGGGGTCAAACAGCGTTGGATTTGAACGTCGCTAAGACCCTGAAACTGTTTCGTCAAGTTAAACCACTGTAGCGCGTGCTCATCGTCGATCCTATCGTCCCATCCGAGATTGGAGCGGCATAACTGCTGCAGCAGCAACTTGGCCGGCAACAAAACAGGAGCAACGAACCCATGTGGGTCATATAGGGTTGAGATATACGAAAGCATCGTTCTTCTGGTAATCGTCTCTGTAGGCCACTTGACTGTGAATCTGAATGAGTCCGTAGACTTGTTCCATTCGACACCTAGTGTTCTGTGGGTATCGGCTGGCTTAAGATCGAGGCAGATTCCCCCGTCGACTCGCTCTTCCTCAAGGATGTCCGCGAGGGCCTCAACCGAGTTGCTCCGCCACTTATGTAAACGGGAACCGTGAGTTTGCAGAGCCGTTCGCAAGTAAGAGGCTACATCCCTAAGGGCTTGTGCGTAGTCACGGCTGATCAAGCAATCGTCGACATAGAAACACTTTCGCAAGTAATTGACATTGTGCGCTGAGGGGATGTCTACCACCCGATCTATCGACCGATTTAGTGCGTAGATAGCAACACATGAAGAAGAGGTTGCCCCGAACGGGTGCACCGCCATTTGATAACCCTCAAGTTCTCGTGCTAAGTCGCCATTCGGCCACCATAGAAAACGTAAAAACGAACGCTGGGCTTTCGGAACTCGGATCTGGTGGAACATAGCTTCTATGTCTGCAATTGCTACGTACCGAAACTCGCGGAATCTAGTCAAAACTCCACACAAACTGTTAGCCAGGTCTGGACCTTGCAGTAATTGGAGGTTGAGTGATGTATTTGCTGGCGCAGTCGAAAACTATCCGCAGCTTCTCCGGTTTCATCGGATTAACTACGGAATGATGGGGTAGGTATCAAAGTTGTCCAGGAACGACGGTGGGTATTGGTGCAACGGGTTCTGCGTAACCTTTGTTGATATATTCAGAGATGGCCTTAACATATCGCTCCTTATACTCCAGGTTTTTCAGAAATCTGTTTTTCAAGGCATATAAACGTCTGCGAGCAACAAGCTCGTTGTCAGGCAAACAGGGAGAACCTAACTTCCAGGGTAGAGGGACTTCCAAGTGCCCTCGCTTCAGATGCGTATGGGATTTGAACAAGTCTAAAACTCTTGTCTTCCACCGAATATGCCTTATCCAAAGATTTGGGCTCACCAAAGACAAAGTTCCACATATGTTCTAGCATTTCCATGACGGAATCTTTCTCGCTCAAAAATTCAACGTTCACTCCTCGACGATCTTGCTCAGCTACTGGTCCCATGAGTACCCAACCGAGAGGGGTACGAACTGCATAGGGATCTTCATGTCCGCCGTATCGATGTGCGAGTACCCAGTGAGCAGCAGGTACATTCATTCCGATTAATATTGATACCTTCGCTCCTTCGACAAGAGGGAGTTCAATGTCACGTAGATGTTCCCAACGTGCTGCCTGGTTTCTAGCTAAGGCAAAGCGCTTCAACTTAGGAAGATGGCTAACGGACCAGGCCTTTTTTACTTTCAGTGGCTCCTGCCCTTCTATCGCAGACAACTGAAAACCCACTATTTCGGAACCTACCACCCTGATGAAGCTGGCTGGGGAGATGAGGAACTGCAAGAACACGTTACAGTAGTTAGAATATTTAGCGGATTTAAATTCATCTAGGACGCTAGCTGCAATCGTCAGGCGACTACCTCAACCACTTCAGTTCAGGTGGTCAGAATCCGCTTCATCAATATTACGCCCGGGAAGGGAGCCAACGTTCTCAGATCTAACCGAATTTGTGGGCGAGAGAACTGATGTATTGATGGTACACCAATCCTACTCCTCAGGTCCAGTCCCAGCGCACAGTCGTTCCCCGGGCGATCGAGGACCGATGCATAAGGCCTATACGCATCACACACAAACTGTATCAGTATCCACAGTACCTAGAGTCTCGACGCTGCGCCGACAGTGTCTGCAGTGCGAGGAAGCTCATTACACCGATCAATGTGGCATGTTTGTCGTCCTGAACCTGCCACAAAGACTAGCTTTCGTTAAACGTAATCGATTATGCCATTAGAGTTGCGAAAATTCCCATAGCAGTAATCAGAAGACGAGGTGGCGAGCATACGTAGCTTTCGATAAATTCTCGTCGGGCCAGTACAGTTATATAGGAACGGGGTAGAAGTAAAACATGCAAGCGATAAGAGAAGTCGACAAAAGTACTCCTTAAACAAAGGCGGGGTGGGGGACTGTGGGGGAGGGGGTGGGGGCAATAATAGTCATTGTCAGGGGCGGGGTGAGAGCGCAAGTGCGCGGGGGCAGTTGCACCGTTAGTCAGCCGTCGACCACTGTAGGCGCGGAGCCTGAACGTGGTTCTTCTGAGCGCATAAAGTTGGCTTTCGTAACCTTATGGCGGCCGCTTCCGCTGTCGCTAGCAGGCGCTGGCCTAGTAGCTTAGGGTAGCTCGATGGGACCTTATACATCACACGAAAAGCTTCGTTGGGGTCCACACGATGTCCGGAATCGACAACATGCGCGAGAATGGCACTGCTTATACTCCTCGTTTCGCCTTTTCCTAGCCATGCCGGGAGGTGTTCGCGTATTCTTTTGGATAAGCGCCGACTCGTGCGACCAATATAACCTGCTCCACAGGAGCAAGTGAAGGAATATATGCACATTGAGGTGGTCTGCGGTGGCAACTTATCCTTACCTTCTCCGCGTAAAATAGGGTTAGTAGAGAATGATATTTGAACCCTTGCCGCTGGGAAGGTTCGCGAGACAGCTTGATCAAGGCGTCTCCTAAGGAGTTCACTCGTCGCGTCCCCTCGGAAAGGGACTTTGAGGAACAAAGTTTTCTTTTCAGCGGTCAATGTGGCGGGTTTAACCGGTCTTTCGACAATGTTCTTTGCAATGAGCCTGTCAGGATACCCGTTTTCTCGAAGGAAGTCCTGGATTTTTCTGAGCTCCTCCTCGATGCTATCTGTTGAGCAAATTTTTCTTGCTCTTTGTGCCAGACATCGGACTAGATTTCGTTTTTGTTGGAGGGGTACGAAACTGGAAAAGTTCGTGTATTGTCCAGACCAGGTTTTCTTCCGATAGACGCTTCTTCGGACACTGCCGTCAGGTCTCCTGCTTAGAAGAACATCTAAGAAAGGGAGCGAACCGGCCGTTTCGATCTCCAGCGTGAATTTGATCGACGGATGTGCCTGATTTGCCGCATCTAAGAGGGTAGCTACGTCGGCTTCTGCAGTGGCAATTGCAAATATATCATCAACGTAGCGTTGGCTCCCTTCCAAGGCGTAATATTGATGAAGCGGATTCTGACCACCTGAACTGAAGTGGTTGAGGTAGTCGCCTGACGATTGCAGCTAACGTCCTAGATGAATTTAAATCCGCTAAATATTCTAACTACTGTAACATTTTCTTGCAGTTCCTCATCTCCCCAGCCAGCTTCATCAGGGTGGTAGGATCCATAGGTTTTATGATTGGACCGTCAATCAAATTATCTATGTGGGCCCTGGCAATGGAGTGGGGTTGGCCGAACCGTCACCTAAGGATCTTGAGAGCTTCATGATACCCTTCACTAGGCTCCAAGATGGCACAGCTGTCAACGGCTTCTCTCGCCTCACCCCGACAATGGTGGATTAGGTAAGAGAGCCGACTTTCGTCGTCGCTAACCCTTTTTGCAATTCCACTCTCAAAGCTTCTTAAGAACAGCCAATATTTGAGGGGGTTTCCATCAAAGTACAGTATTTCCCGCTGTGGAAGGGAAAACTGAGGGGGCATAGGGCGCTGGTAACAATCATGACAGTCTGCCTTTGTAGTTTCTGGGTGTCGGAAAAGGTTAAGCTCAGTAATGCGTGATTGCTTAGACTCTGTATCAAGAAGAAGAAGCGACGGCGAACATCCAACCACTGAGGACTCGCCGGTAACAACGGGCTTTGATTCCAGCGGAGTTGTATCCAATACTGCTTTTGGACTGCCCAATTTAATTTTCTCCTTCAACTGCTCCTCCAAATTCCGTATCTTTTCCTTATATGATTCGAGGATGGTGTCATGGTCTCCAAGCGTGGGAGAATATCTGTCCAAATCGGGAGCTGACAGAGATTTCTGTGACTCATCCATTTCTGAAGCATCGTATTTGGTTAACTTTGTGGAGTACTGTCGACTGCCATTTGTTGCCTGTTCGCGTTACTCACATAGAGTCTGTTGAACCTAGCTGCTCTCTAGCCTGTCTCGATTCAGTCGCCTGAGTTGGCTTACTTCGTGCAGTCCGTACGCGGAAACGATGTAAATAAGTGCAGAATTGTACGGAAACACGGTTCTATAATTGGCATGATTAGCAAGATTTAAATGTTACACTTACAACCAAATGTCTCCAGGCATACAGTCAGAAAGATGTGGCGTATAGTCAGACGGGTAGCGTCAAGTTACGCGGGATGTAAACGGGAGATTCAACCAAATAGTACGAGGGTTGGGGGAAAATAGAGGCCATAATTTTCCGAGGCAAACAAAAAGAAATGTAAAGTATGTGTTAAAGGGGGCCAATAAAAATGGGAAAACATACGTGGGAACGTACAATCACTGAGACAGTAGATTTATTTGCCTGAGCTTTCGAACTCGAACTGGAGTTCATCAGCAGAGACTGCTCCAGTGCAGCAACGCGTGAACTTTTATATCGCTGTTCCTTGCGGGGGGGACTACGTCCGTGGCTAGGTAAGGTTTGTGCTGCCTGGTCCACGATGGTCCCCCGGCATGGTGACGCCGTTTGTACTTCGCGACGATGTGAGCTGCGCCACCTGGCTGCGTGGGCGGAGGACGTGATAACACGCAGGCAAGTCGATGTGTCTGTTGATAGAGTTGGTGTCCGACACCCACGCCTCCGACAGCTCTGGCCCTGTCTTGTTGCCGGCTCGCGCCAATATCCGCGTGTTGGCGAAGTCGAAGTCATAGCCTTCCTCCAGCGTGTGAGCGGCTACTTGAGATAGTGGGTCGCCTCTCCGAACGGCCCGTTTGTGCTCAAGTATTCGTGAGCTGAGACGTCGTCCTGTCTGGTCTGTGTAGTGGCAAGGACAGTTTTGGCACGGGATTTGATAGACTACGCCCGACTGTTCACCTGCGTCCAGCCGATCCTTCATTTTCATGATCCTGCTACGCACGGTGGCCGCCGGATGATGAATGATGCCCACGCCTAGCTCTGACGCAATGCGTTCTGTAGCCTCGGACACATTCTTTATGTACGGTAGGGAGTGCCAAATTGTTGGCGTGGGTGCGTGCGTATGCAGCGACTGATAAAACTATTTGCGTAGCCGTTCTTTGTTAATTGGTCCCGGAGATGCCGTAGTTCTTGCATCCTTTCTTCGGGCTCGCTACCGTGCGTTTTCAGTCGGTCGAAAAACGCCCTCACACAGTACCGTTTGTGCACCAATGGGTTGTTGCTATGATAGTTGAGGACCTGGGTTGTATTGGTCGCCTTTCTGTACACTGTAGTGCTGAGTTCACCGTCAGGTATGCCCGTGACGAGCACTCTCAGGAAAGGTAGTTTCTCGTCCTCCTCGTCTTATAAACTGAATGTCGGGGAATATGCTGTTAAGCAAGTCTTGAAAACCCGATAGCTTGTCCTTTTTAATAATGACGAATGCATCGTCCACGTATCGGCGCCAAAACGCAGGTTTGTAGTGACTGAAAGCAACCTTTTCCAGCTCTTGTAGGACCAATTCCGCAACTAGGCTGGATATTGGGGAACCCATGGGTGTTCCTTTGATTTGTTCGTATGTTCTGCCATGGAAGGTGAAAAAGGTTCGTTGGCAGAATGCAAAGAGCTGCATTAGGTTCTGGATCTTTAGCGGCCCTGTCATTTCGTCGTACTTTTCTTCGAGGTGTTTGCGTAGCACGCCGAACGCCAAGTCTGGTGAGATGGACGTGAAAAGTGAGAAAACGTCGAAGGATACCATGATTTGGTCGCGTCTAATAGTTTTTCTCCGAATGTCGGCAAGGAATTGGGAGGCCGGATTGACGGACGTCACAGAACCCTCTCGAGAAAATTGAGCTTTCGGGACATCCATTTGGCTAAATTGTGTGTAGGGCTGCCTTTCAGGGCAACGATTGGTCGCAGAGGAACGTTGGCTTTGTGGATTTTCGGTAGTCCGTATAACCTGGCCAACGCCGTGTCGGTTGGTTTTGTCTGGTGCCATTCGTCCACCGAGATTACATTGTTGCGCCGGAGTCGGCTTAAGAGTCCAGTAAGCTGGCCGATCGTCGATTCGGCCTGCGAGGCGGGTGCGGACCTGTAGGACTCTTGGAGGCGTGGGTGTCAGACACCAACTCTATCAACAGACACATCGGTTTGCCTGCGTGATATCACGCGCTCCGCCCACGCAGCCAGGTGGCGCAGCTCACATCGTCGCGATGTACAAACGGCGTCACCACGCCGGGGGACCATCGTGGACCAGGCAGCACAAACCTTACCTAGCCACGGTCGTAGTCCCCCCCCGCAAGGAACAGCGATATAAATGTTCACACGTTGCTGCACTGAAGTAGTCTCTGCTGATGAACTCCAGTTCGAGTTCAAAAGCTCAGGCAAATAAATCTACTGTCCCAGTGATCATGCCTTCTTCTTCTTTTAGAGACATTTGCGCTCTAAGACTGAGTTCTTGCAAAGTCCCCAAAAACCACTTGCCTCCAACTGCGTTTGTGCCTTCCACGTCTTCCACGCACTCTACACCGATTATTTGTTTACACGATGCGATGTCCGGCTCGAAAGATCCCATCCAGAAGCCCACGCCAACACCTGGCACACCCTCGAAAATCACAGCGGCGATCCCTTTGTCGCCATTCGCCCCTCCTGACACCTATTCCAGCCTTGTCCAACGTCTCGGATCGTCTCAAGAACCTTTACGGTGGCCAGCGGAATGAAGTCAGTTTGCGTAACCGTTCCCACCCTCTACACCCTCATGTTCTCTGCCATACTGATAGACGCATAGCGTGACGAGCATCGCTTATAGGATCGATGGCCGTCTTCTCAACCGGCGCATGCAAGCCCTAACGCGTGTCCACGGTCTGCTCTTTGAAGACCTTTTCTCACTCGGCATAGGGACAAAAGATGACATGCAACGAGGCAGGCATCTCTTCGCCTGCGGAATTGCTAGCTCCGGTTGGTCACCAATACGGACACAACGGGGCTCATGCATTAAACGCCGCCCACCGCTGCATACAATGCTCCTTCCATCCACGTCATTGGCAGTCGACTGAAAAGCGTGGATGACTTAGTCTACTTAGGCAACGCACACACGCTGCACAAAAATCGTCAAGCCGGCTTTAGAACGCCCTGTGCGATCGCTACGGGCTCAACACTTAACTCAAGATTTACAAAGCTGTTAATTTGACGACACTGTTGTATGGTCCGGAGACCTGGACAGTCTACAAGAGACAAGCGCGCAAACTCAACGGCTTCCACTTCAGTTGTCTCCGGCGGTGAAGATTATACAGAGTGGTTCTGCTAATTCTTCAGCTAGTTGACTTAGGAGTGCACCTGGGATATCCTCCGGTCCAGATGACTTGGCCGGATCCTGCTTATTTAACTCTGCCGAGTTGACGAGCTGTGGCAGAGAGCAGGAATGGGGGGGTGGGGGATGGTTCCATGGTATAGACACTTTGGAAAGCTTCTGAAAGAAGCTGGGTTTTTTGAAAGCCATCGTTTTAGCTGTGTCTCTTCCAGGAGCTTTATTTTATAAGAAGCACGCTCTTCACGGAGGAGTCTTTTGCATAAGTTTTGTTCTTGTCTACATTCTTGACGTTGTTCTGGGCTCCCCGTTTGTGAGAAGATTTTCCACAGCTTGCGCTTTTTTCGGATTCCCTTCTTAACCGATGTTTTCAGCCAGGCAGTGAGTGAATACTCAAAGGCAGTGCGGACGGTGGAGGCGACTGCGGCAGTTAGGTTGATGCTTCAGGCACTGGTTCGCCAGTCATTGTGCGATGGATTCGCAAGTGACCGACCAGGCCGATGTGTCACGTGGGAGTGCGATCGCAATGAGGACAGGTATAGATCAGGTCCTCATCACTGGAGTTGGCGGTGGTGTTCGCGTTTGTTGGGGTGGCACGATGTTGTGTGGTGTTGATGGGCATGGCAGACGCCACAGCGACAAACGTTACGACGGTGGTGGTGGAGGCGGGGGATGGTATTGGTGGTTGAGGAGGGCGGTCAACGTTATTTGACGGCGTGGGAGGCGAGGTAATGATAGACGGAGAGACGACGGTTGGTGCAGTCCGGGTGCTGTAGTTGGTCCGAAGGTGTTCAACAGGTGCAATTGGTGCGGTTGGTCGTTTTTCGTTTCCAGGTGGGCACAGCTGAGATTTGCGTGCTCCTCGTTTGGCTTTTGAGGCGGCAATGCGGTTTGCCTCTCAGATTGCTCCGCCACTTTTCACTGTCCTCCTCCAGGTCAGTCAGTCTCGAGCGAGGTCTTCCCAGTTGGCCGGGCTTATCTTCCGACGCTTCACAGAGGTCTTCAGAGGGTCTATGTATCGACGGTTTTGGGCTCCTTGGCTGCGGGAACCCGTGGCGACGTCTCCATAGAAGAGTCTGGGTAGCCGCTCGTCGTCCATCCGCACGAGGTAGCCGCTCCAACGCAGTTGCAGTTGTCTCAGCATGGCTGAGCATTCCCGTCCCCTCCAGTATGTCAGTGTCCGGGATTCGGTCCTGCCACCTGAGCTTCAGTATCCGTCGGGGACAGCTGAGGTGGAAGGGATTGAGTCTCTGCACTTGCTTCGTGTAGATCGTCCAGGTCTCTGCTCCATACAGCGGCGTCGTCAGGATGGCTGCCTTGTACACCTTCAGCTTTGTGTTGAGATGGAGACCGTGACGGCTCCATACGATGTTTTGCAGACGGCCGAAGGCTTGAGTGGCTTTGGGAATGCGGCTGGCCACTTGGTTGTCGATTTTGGAGGGGAGGGTGCTGTCCCGACACGTGAAGTTGTCCACCACCTGCAGTTGGGTTTCGTTCGCGCTGCTCTGCGACGCATTGTGGACTGTGTTGGGTGGCGGTTGGGGAATGACAACTGTCTTTTCCGTGTTGATGAGCAGACCAAAGTTCTCACAGGCGGCGGAGAAGAGATACATGCTCATTTGCATGTCCCCTTCCATGCATCGTGTCCTTCACAGAACGCGATGCCCTCCCTGGCAAATCCTCTCAAAAAGTAGGAGGGCTAGGTTGACGTGCACACCATAGGCCGCCCCGTTTCGCTAATCGCCGGCCCTTACAGGAATCCGATCTGACCTCTGAGAGTTCAAGTTCTCGCCCCCCCAGTTGATGATTCCAGCGCTTCTTGATATCATCTCGTTTCGACTCCAAGCAGTCTGTTGACGGTCACGGCGGAATTCTCTGTTTTCCCCATCTGCTAGTTGTTTGGTAGGTCAGCAAAGAGGTCTCTGAGTCGCATCTATCCTCTACGTCTTGATGATCGACTCGGCCCTCAATATCCCCTCCTTGGCTGGACTCTAAGCGGACTGTAACCGATTGCGTTCGCGTTCCTCTTGTCTCGCCACTTTGAAGCGGATAGCCTCGTGCGGTTTAGGACTTCCGCCTTGATGATATTCGTTTTGAATCCATTGTGCAGCACGCATGCAGGCGAATTTCCATCCGTCCCACATTTTCACCCTTTCATGGACGACCGTTTTTTCTCCTTAAAAAACTAATCAATTTATATTTATTTTGTCTTTTTCGAAAAAAGGAGTTTTTCACTGCTTCCTAGCCGTTTTTCATAAGCATGAATCGAATATTCTCTCTAAAATTCGCTTGAAAATGTATTTTTACTCGCTTTAATAGTACCCTAATGGGTACCGACTAGATTGGAACCTTAATCAAAAAAATAATAAACTAGACCTGGGATTGATTGTCCGATGGGTAACACAAGAGAGCGGAGATTTGGAAGCAAACGTTGTGAACTGATGGTCCGAAGAAAGGGTTCTTGGAAGCTAGTCCTCAGTCACATTTACAACTTTTCCATTCGTAAGGCTAGAAATCCTTCCGTTAAATTATTTCACAACGCGTTTCTATATTTAGAATTTTTATAGGAAACCCAACTAATGCCCAAGTACTCGTCATACATATGCAACCGAAAATCCCGCGCACCCCTATAGGGGCTCAGGGCGCGTCTTCTAAAGTTTGCTACATTGCTCCTCCTGTGAAGATGATCCGCTGTCCTCAGCAGAACCTAATTCGTTAGTTGGTACTGCCACATAATTTTTTCATCACTTATCCACCACGTCATCCGCCATCGAGCGTACCATTCCAATTGAACAAATTTACCGAAAGGGTGTGCAGACATCAAGATTGGGAGGGTTTTGCGTGTCATTTTGTTGAGTCGCGAACCAGAGCAGGCCCCGGTCGCTTTGCGAAGCGACGGTGTTTATGGTGCCGTCATTACTTGACGGGCCCTCACTATAATCAATCTGACGCGCTTGAAGCTATCACGGTGCGCTAAAAACCGTGGCTTGGAAGGTTGCCAACTGACGGGGTACCTTGGACCTCCTCCTTAACGGGAGGCGGTCTGAGAGTCAGACTGCAATGGCTCCTTTTTAATGTGGCCTTTATGGCACTCCCACCACAGTGTGGGATCCGAGCCAGGCGTTGGCGGCACGCCCAGGTGCGGCTTCGGCCGTGCCAGCCTCCAAATCTCTGTTGTATTGGTTGAAATCCTGGTTATTGTTGTGTGGACCAGGGGGTGTGGTGGAACGCCAAGGTGAGGATCCGTCCGAGCCATCCACCTGCGGCCTCCCTCGTCTCCGGTCTTCTTGACTCTGTCTTGACACCGGGCTCGAGCGAAGGAGGTGGAGAGAGTGTAGGTAGATGCAGCGCAAGTCTACTGGCACTATAAACCCCTGCGCAAGTCACCGTCCCTGCTCCAACCTGCTGTGGGGCACACGGTGGACATCATCGAAATCGATGTTCGAACTGTCACTTGACGGGCACAGCTCATGTTGCGATGCAATTTCTTCCAGAGTGCACTTGCATTACTGTGTCGGCGGCCGAGTCGGAACACAGATTTCACCAAATTTTCCTGCCATCTAGCGACATGACCTTCAGGGATCTTAAAGTTCGGCAACAATGTGGCCAGTGAGCACGATAGAGGGTGTTACTGGAAGTACGGCCGGCATTCTTCCGCAAAATGCGCAAGTACCAGCATCTTCCGAGCTACACAATGGCGTCGATCATTGTCGATCTTCGACTTGTACGCCGAACAAATCTTTCAGTACCATTTGTCTGCGCCCGTCGCGTTGTCTCTGGCATCGCCATTTAAAGTATACGTCTACGTACATTTGTGATTTGTTTCCTTGATTTTTCTTCCACACCTGATGTTTTTTGTGCTGTTGTTTGCAACGTTTCCATCTAACGCGAGTATATAGTCAACGAGGCCCAACAGGATAAGACGGAGACTAGCTGTTTTACTTAAGAACCTATGTACAATGAGAAACCAAGGGAGAAGTCCTAATTACAAAAATACACTGAATCTGTGGGGCGATTGTCCACAGGGGCGGTTGAGAGCACTGGGATCCATTGGAGAAGGCAACAGGGGTTCTACGTCCGACGGGCGGCGACCGGCCACGGGGTTGTTGGAGGTTAATCCTCGCCCGTATTTATAGCTTTTCCAGGGGCCAAGGGCGTCAAGGTTGAATCCGCCATTGTTGATTGGTTAAGGGCAGGTTAAGGGGGGGAGAGTTAAACAAACTTAAGCTAGAGCTATTTTGATTAATTTTTGGTTATATTAATTTATTTAATGCATACTTTTTATAAGAAGCCTGATTTCGACTAAGTACCTGGCGTATAAATGCGGAAACGTTTGGCGCGCGCGCGCGTGTCCCTTTAGAGGCGCGCCTTCTAGAACCTTCTACAAGATGGCGGCACGTGGTCTGGCTTTCTAGAGCTTTCTACACTTCATTAACTACGCCCATATGTGAAGAAGAAGATTCGAGCACCGGAACTCTTTGTTTATTGTCCTGCGCTTTCAGACTCGTACAGGAGTACATCGTCAGAGGTAGTAGCAGCAGCAGAACAGGCGACAGTTATAAGGCATGCAGGCCAATCATCGACCGACGGCGCAAGATTGGAGGTGACTATGAAGGGCTCTGTGCGCCGGCGCCAGATCGATAAATCGATTGACCGAGTTCTCATCCGAGGCCCAGGCTTCAATCAATTCTCGGCCTGTTTTGTTTCCGGCGTGGGCGACTATTTTGGTGGCTGCGAAGTTAAACTCGTGCCCCATTTCGTAGGTGTGGGCGACCACTTTTGATAATGCGTCGCCTCATCTCTCAGCCGGTTTATGTTCGTGCATGCGCGATCCGAACATGCGTACAGTCTGTCCTGTGTAGTTGTAAGGACAATTTTGACACGGAATGAGATACAGTACACCAGATTGTTCTTCAGGCTTTAATCGATCTTTGATTTTCATGACCCTGTTGCGCATGATGGCTTTGGGGCGGTGTGAAATTCCAACACCTAGCTCCGTAGCAATGCGCTCGGTCGCTTCAGAAACGCCCTTGATGTATGGCGGAGAATGCCATATCGTCAGTGGCGTTAATGTTCGAGTTCTCTGGTGGCGACCCCGTAGGCAGCGACTTATGAATGCCTTCGGATAGCCATTTTGCACAAACTGGTCGTGGAGATAAAGGGCCTCACATGCTCTGTCCTCCGGCTTGCTGCAATGAGTTTGGATCCGTTTGAGGAGTCTTCACACAGCTTCGTTTGTGAGCCACCGTATGGCTGCTGTGAAAACTGAGAAGCTGTGTGGTGTTCGTTGCCTTCCTATAAACCGTCGTTTAAAGTTCACCGTTAAGGTTTCGTATGACAAGCACATCCAGGAAGGGCAACTGCTGTTCCTGTTCTTCCCTCGTCAAGGTTATATCAGGAAAGACTGCGTTGAGCAGGCTGTGGAAATGTTGCAACATGTCCTTCTTTACAATGACGAACGTGTCGTCAACATCTTCATGTTGGATGAAGGCAATCTTTTCTAGCTGCTGTAGGACCAGTTCTGCCACTAAACCGGAAACCGTTGAGCCCATTGGGGTTCCCTTGATTTGTTCATAGGCCTCTCCCGCAAAAGTGAAGAAAGTTTGTTGGCAGAATTCAAACAACCTCATGAGGTGTCCAATTTCGAGTGTATTCTGAGTCTCGTCGTACGCCTCCTCAAGTCTCTTGCGCAAGGCATCGGAGGCCATGTTTCGTGGGATGGATGTGAATAACGACGTCACATCGAAGGAGACCATGGTTTCGCCCGATTGAATCCTCCGACCTCGGAGGTCTATGAGGAATTGAGAGGCTGATCGAACTGAGGTAGTCGAATTGCTTTGGAGGAACTTCGGTTTTGAGCACATCCACTTTGCCAAATTGTAGGTGGGGCTGCCGTTTAGAGCAACGATTGGCCAGAGTGGGGCATTTGCTTTATTGATTTTTGGCAGACCATATGCCTATATGCCTCAATCAGATTGTATCCATCGATCGCATCTCGCCGGATGTGAATTTGTCCGAGCGGCAAGCTCTGCTAGCCGACTCCAACTCTGAAATGCTCTGTCCAAAGCACTCATAGGCCACTATATTTTAAGGGTAATAGGCAATATCTAGCTTTAAATAAACACGGCACTAAAATGTTGTCAGTAATATATGCACTTAGTGGAATATTTACTTTTTAACATGCGGGACCGAAACTAGAACATTCAGTTGTAGATGATATCGGTAAAAGGAAATGACAATCATCCGCATTAGCGGTAGGTGTATGCAAGGCGTTGGTTTGGCAAAACGTAGCTGTTCTGTCCAGACAAGCGGCATTTCCCAAGCGAATATACATCTAGTCTTTGCTTGAATGTTTCCGTGGAATCCGCCATTATCCCGTCCTCGGGAAGCCCGTTCCAGGCACTGAGCACTCGCTGTGAAAAAGAGTATTTGCGAACGTCCAGGCTGCATCGGGATCCTCGAAGTTTTTGAGAGTTCCCACGCAGGTTTGTTTTTGTGGCCAGGGTAAAGATATTGTCGAGGTTTAGGGCACAGTCCCGGTTCCTCAATATCTGATACGCCTGTATGAGATCTCCTCGAAGCTGCCTGTACTCAAGAGGAAAGAGTTCAAGTTCACTAAGTCGGCAGTTATAAGGTAAAGTCCCGAGGCCTTTCACAATTTTTGTCGCTCTCCTCTGAACTCTTTCTAGCAAATTATAGTCTTTTTTAGCTACGGGCGCCACGCATGGATTCCATATTCCAGATGCAAACGAATGAACGCTCCGTATACTTTTCCAAATAACTCTTTGTCTATGTCTACGAAAGTTCGTTTAATGGCAAAGAGAACACTGGTTGCCCTTTTGGCCGCCCTAACGCACTGAGAGGAAGGCTTAAGAGTCGAGAAAATGTTGATCCCAAGATCTTTTTGTTCGGTTACATTTGAAAGGCAACTTCCACCAAGCAGGTAATGGTGATCCTCTCCGTCGGCTCTTCCAGTCGTTTTGAGTCGCAGCGCGACGCACTTCTCAAGGTTAAACTTCAGCAGCCATTTGTCAGACCTTTTGCGTAGGCGGTTCAGTTCTCCTTGCAGGGCCCGTTCATCATTTTCCACGTTGATCGCCCACCATAGCTTGATGTCATCGACAAACATGACTCCATTGCAGTCCAGTCATATTACAGTTATTCATACAGTCGTTGACATAAATTAAAAACAGAACTGGCCCGAGTACAGAGTCCTGGGCAACTCCACTCACAACTGGCACTGACTTTGACTTCGCACAACCTGATACTAGAGAGGGCTTTTTTCGTGAGTTTGTACAACAGTTCACCTTTGCCGTTTTTCCTATGCGTATTTTTCGTCTCTGTTTGTAGGAGGCGCAACGTCGCCCACTTAGGTTTTCCATTTATCTTCCTAATAACAATTCTGCGCAAATTCTGAGTAGATGGTTTGACAAAATGGGCGTTTTATTTAAAAAAAGATATTAGTAGTACTAAATGCAAAAAGCGGACTGTACAAAGGTCCAAAACTGATTACAAAATAAAGTTTTTCTAAGAAAACAAAATTCAATAATATGTTCAATCCCTACCCTAATAGCGAATCGAGATTCGCTGCTCGCGTCCCGCCCGCAGCTGGCCTCTGATTGGTTGGCTGCAGTCGTAGCAGCAAGTTTCCCAGGGTCGCGCACGAGTTAGCTTACGCTGATAAGCTATCGATAGGACGGCATGCCTGCATGGCATGCTCGCACCTGGGCGTCACTTCCTGTCTTGCCACGCCGCTGAGCGCACGCATTGCTGTCCTGTGCTTTACCTTTTCTGTTAACCCATACTATCGAGTTTTAGCGTTTTCTATCATGAGACGAGGTGGCGAGCATACGTAGCTTTCGATAAATTCTCTTCGGGCCAGTACAGTTATATGAGAACGGGGTAGAAGAAAAACACGTCAGCGATAAGAAAAATCGATAAAAGTTCTACTTAAAACACGGGCGGGGTGTGGGAATGTGGAGGGGGGGATGTGGTGGGTAATAGCAGTCATTGTCAGGGCTGGGGTGAGAGCGGAAGGGCGCAAAGTGTAGCAGCGTTAGTCGACCTTCGATCACTGTAGGCGCGGAGCCTGAACGTAGTTCTTCTCCGCTCATAAAATTGGCTTTCGTAGCCTAATGGCGGCTGCTTCCGCTGTCGCTAATAGGCGCTGGCCTAGTAGCTTAGGGTAACTCGATGCAACCTTATAAATTACACGAAAAGCTTCGTTGGGGTCCACGCGATGTCTGGAATCGACAACATGCGCGAGAATGGCGCTGTCAATTCTTCTAGTTTCACCTTTTGCCAGCCATGCGGGAAGGTGTTCGCGTATTCTCTTGGATAAGCGCCGACTTGTGCGACCAGTGTAACCTGCTCCACAGGAGCAAGTGAAGGAATATATACACATTGAGGTGGTCTGCGGTGGCAACTTATCCTTACCTTCTCCGCGTAAAATCGGGTTAGTAGAGAATGCTATTTGAACCCTTGCTGCTGGGAAGGTTCGCGAGACAGCTTGATCAAGGCGTCTGCTTAGGAGTTCACTCGCGGCGTCCCCTTGGAAGGGGACCTTGAGGAACAAAGGCTTCTTTTCGGCGGTCGGTGTGGCGGGTTTGATCGGTCGTTCAGCAATATTCTTTTCAATAAACCTTTCAGGATATCCGGTTTCGCGAAGGAAGCCCTGGATTTTTCTGAGCTCCTCCTCGATGGTATCTGTTGAGCAAATTTTTCTAGCCCTTTGTGCGAAACATCGGACTAGATTTCGTTTTTGTTGGAGGGGTTCGAAACTGGCGAAGTTCGTGTATTGTCCAGACCAGGTTTTCTTCCGCTAGACGCTTCTTCGGACACTGCCGTCAGGTCTCCTGCTTAGAAGAACATCTAAGAAAGGGAGCGAACCGGCCGCTTCCATCTCCAGCGTGAATTTAATCGACGGATGTACCTGATTTGCCGCATCTAAGAGGGTTGCTACATCGGTTTCTGCAGTGGCAATGGCAAGGATATCGTCAACATAGCGACCGTAATGTTTAAGCTTATCGATCTGTTCACTTGGTTGGAATCTCTCCAATTTTCCCATGAAGACATCGGCTAGGAGAGGTCCTAGGGGTGAGCCCATAGCAACGCCGTCTACTTGTATAACAGGAACTGCACATTTAATGTGCATCTTAGTAATAGTTCCTTGAGTGTATTCGTCGGAATCCCTATTTCCTGCTGACTGGCAGATAGAAAATCACAGAGGTAGTCAACTGTCTCGGTGACCGGAACGTTTGTAAAAAGTGATGAGACGTCTAGCGAGAATATCACCATGCCGTTGACGTTAAGGTCTTTGATGTCGTCAATGAATTCAAGGGTATCTCGGTAACTGCTTGGTGCTAGCTGACGCTGTACAGGCTTGAGTTTCTCTGCTAGCCACTTTGCTACCGCATGATACGGAGAGTTTCGCATGTCTAGGATTGGACGGACTGGCAGGCCTTCCTTATGGATCTTAGGTAGGCCATACAGTCGAGGGATATGTGTGCCGACTGGTCGAAGCTGTTCTAGGTCACGGTCGGTTATGTGCCTCCCTGTGTGGAGCCTTCTTAGACAGTCAGTTTCGCCTCTACTTCATCCAAACAATCTTATTCTTTGTCTACTATCTTGAATTTCTTCTGGTCTGATAATCTGGACGGTATCTTCGCTATGTAGTCCGATCTGTTCATTATAACGACGCCTGTTCCTTTGTCTGGTCTAGTTACCAGGATATCTTTGTTCTCTCGAAGTTCTTTTAACTTTTCCACATGCGCTTTTGTCAGCAATCCCTGACTTTTTGGCCCCTTGTTCAGGTACTGATAACTGCAATTCACCAGTGTTGATTTAAAGTGTTGGATACTGTCTGTGGAAGAGGGCACTAGGTCATAGGTTTGATTCCATAGGTTCTCGAACTGAGTTTCCAATTCTAACTGATTGACTTTTCGACGAGGCATGCAAAACTTAGGACCAAGGGATAATGCTTCAAGTGATGTTTTATCAAGTGTCATATAAGAGTGGTTGTGTACCTACCGACTTGGATCCTTGGGAAACCGTGGTTGTTGTTTGCTTTCATGTACACTTCTTAGAAGCGCGGAACTTTTTGTCTCTCCGCGTTTTCTTCCTATGGATTGAGTGTAGCTGTCGAACTCTTGTCTTTCGTCGTTTGTCAGGGTGTCTATCATGTCCAGACCAGTATATCGGAGAACTCAACGCAGGCGTGCTGAGGGTTATGGAGCCCATAGTCAGCACAGTTTTTGCTGTAGGAATTGATTGCGGTGTAGACAAACCGCCGGACGTCCTGGCATTCTGCAAACCGTTGGTGTATGAGTTATCGTCATTGTCCCAGCGTGTACTCGTTCCACGCAAAGACATCGTGAAACCCTAGTAACATCCGTTTGAGAGTGCTTCCTTCTCGGCATCGGCCCGATCTGCGGTGGGTAATATGCCATCAATGGACGTCGGAGGAATCTGCATTGCCGCTGGGATTGCGGCACAGGCAGCCGTTTCGCCTACGATCGGGAGCCTCGCCGGGCCTTCCGCGTCGGTTTGTCGGAACTCAACTCTCCTATTTCGTACATCGATGTGGCCTTCGTAATGAGCAAGAAAATCGGTTCCGAGGAGTATGTCCCACGTGAGATGTGGTGTTATGACAAAGGTGTGTTCGGCTGTGAGGTAGGGAAGTGTCACGGTGAGCGGTATGGTCCCGTGGTGTGTTAAACGTTGTCCGTCCGCCGTGGTTAATCTCACTGCGTGGGAGGTCTCATTACGCTGGTGGTGGATACCCGGTTGTAAGATTCGCGGGCTAACTAGGGATACTGTCGCTCCCGTATCAATCAACGCGCGTACAGTCTGATCGGCTACGACTACTCTGGTATAAAAAGGGGCAACTGATAAAGTAGAGCTTGTGCAAGAAGTAATAGAGACAGTACCCGTTTTCCTCTGACAGGAGCAGACGTGGTTGCGGGGGAATCGTTGTCCACCAGGCTTGCGAAAGGGTTCACCTCGACGATTGAAGGGCGGATGAGTTGGGCCTGTAAAACGTCGTGTAGGGTAATAGGTACCTCGTCCCGCGACCATAGGGTGGGCATGCCGATCGTGTGTGTCTTCAGATGGAGAGTGGCGGGAAACTGAGGGACACAAGCGTAGGTGGCGTTCGGCCCTGTTGACGGCGTCTTGGATATCGTCCGGGGGCTGTAGTAAGAGTGAGCGTGAAAGCTCGGACGAGGGTAGGACTTTAATAAAATAGTGAAGTACTGTATGTTCCTTATCCGCGGATCCCAATAAAGGAGATGCCACGGTTGTTAGGCCCTTGAGGTCCTCAGCAGCTGATTCAGAGCTTAAGTCACCGCCCGTGTAACTGTTCTCTTGCGTCGCCGAAAGAGCAAGTTGGGCTGAATAAGTTAGGCAGGCTTTGGCATAGCTCATCAAAGGGTAAATCAGCATCTAGACCAGCGTCAAGTGCTTTATCTCATTGTTTAGGCGCGAGGGCCTTACGTAGTGTCCATGGTCTGTCGTCCGCCTCTGAGACCTCCCGCAGATAGAACTTTGCGCGTCGGAGCCACGCAGTAAAAGACTCCGTACCGTCGTATTGTGGTATCTCGACAGCGCGTGATGTGTTTGTCTTGTTTCCGGACATTCGTATGGGCTGTGGGAGCAGTCGTTGCGCTGCCATGCGCCAGTACTAGTACGTCCCGGAGGAGACGATGACGACCGTACGTCCGCCAAGGGGAAAAAGAAGAAGCGACAGTACTGGATGCAATACTTACGTATTAGATGATACATTCCCACGCGCCAGTACTAGTACGCCCCGGAGGAAACGACGACGACGACATGATAGCCGTACGTCCGCCAAGGGGAAAAAGAAAAAGCGACAGTACTGAATGTAATACTAACGTATTAGATGACACATCCCCTCGCGCCAGTACTAGTACATCCCCGAGGCGACGACGACATGATAGCTGTACGTCCGCCAAGGGGAAAAAGAAGAAGAAGAAGCAACAGTATTGGATGCTCTGTTAGTCACTTGTCGAGTTTTAGAGGAGAGAACCTAAGCGCATTCGTTGATCGAGTTTTCAGTGCCCTGTTTGAAGACGAGATTACAAATCACTTAACGTTTTATGGACGAAGACAACAGGGCAAGCGCGCCTTCTTTGGCTTCACTGCCTACGCAGTAGTCCTGGGTATGACAGGCATTATTTTCCGCAATTCACACAGGCCTAAACAGATGTCTTTAGCAGATGGCATGGCGACCACAATTCGGCTCGCCAACAACTGGAGAAAATGTTTCGAATCGCATTCCGAAGGGCCTATGACTGCCTGCAAAAACGGACCAATAAATTATCCACGTCACGTCAAGTGGACGGTTATTTTGTCGATGGTTGCGTGGTCGACAAGATAAAGATTCCCAATCAAAAGTCAGGGAAGACGGTTTTGAGTTGGATAACCTTTACTGCCTGAGGAATCGCGTACACAAGGGCTCTGTAGGCAGTTGCCGCAAGCGCGTTCCAAGCAAGCTGTTGTCTGAGTCCGCCTTCGAGGTGTTTTCTTAGCGCGTGTGTGCGCCCTTCGTTGTCTCCACGTCGCCAGCCAATCAGAGTGGGGACAGCGTTGATTGGTTTCGAGCACTCGCGCGGCCCAGCAGCGTGTAGACATGGAATGTGAAGCGGGCAGTACGGCAGCATGACAAAGGCGGAGGGTGAGGAGACGCGGACTGCTACAGTACCCTCCGGCTGGACCGAAGGTGGCACGTAGCGATACCGAAGGAACTTTTGATGTCTAAAAAACATGAGTAACCAAACGTTCAGGAAAATGAACAAGGCGTCCACTACGGGTGATATATACAAGGGGGCACAGGAGTAGAGTGAGTGTGGCTCGCGGTTACAGTGTTGTTTGTTGATGAAGGGGTAGTTGCAGTTGGGGGTTGTGGACATGAGGGCAGAGGAAGTATACGGGACGGAGGGATAGAGGGTCGGGGAGGCGGAACAGAGGGTAGGGGACCACAGGGCTCATCCGGAGGAGTGTCCGGGACGGCAGCTTTGAGGCGGTCCACGCTCAAGACCTCGCGAGTGCCGCGTTGGATGCGGAATTTCTTCGTCCCACGAGAGATAACTCGGAAGGGGCCATCGTAGGGTGGTTCCAGGAGCCGGCGGACTCGATCACATCGGAGATAGACGTGAGAGCACGTTGCCAAGTCCTTTTCGAGATGAGACGGAGAGGCGTAGGACCTGGGAGGAACCAGAGAAGGTGTCCGCATAAACTGCCGGAGGCGAAGCAGGAGGTTGGTGGGATCCTCAACTGCACCTCGCGGGGTTGGCGAGATCATCTCACCGGGGAGTCGGACGGTGGCACCGAACACCAGTTCAGCTGCGGAACAATCAAGGTCCGGCTTCAGAGCGGAGCGGATGCCCAAGAGAACCAGGGGAAGGTGGTCTGTCCAGTTCTCCGGATCGGCCGTGGCGCGTAGGGAGGCCTTCAGCTGGCGGTGAAACCGCTCGACCATCCCGTTGGCTGCCGGGTTATAGGCTGTAGTGCGGATGCGAGTACAGCCTAAAAAGGAGAGTAAAGACTGGAAGAGATTAGACTCAAACTGGGCACCACGGTCAGTCGTGATTGTGGAGGGTGCACCAAAGATAGCAACCCAACGACTGAGAAAAGCCTTGACCACCGTTGGAGCAGCAATGTCAGGCAGGGGAATTGCTTCGGGCCACCGAGTGAACCGATCCACACAGGTGAAGAGATGGGAACAACCATTGCACAGAGGCGGGAGACCTACAATGTCCAGGTGAACGTGGCTGAACCTTGCACCAGGGCCAGGGAAGGTGCCAATGGGGGCCTTGTTGAGCCGCTGGATCTTACTCCGTTGGCAGGCGATACAGGCCCGTGTCCATGCCTTGAGGTCCTTCTGCATACCAGGCCAGACGAAGCAGTCGGAAACCAGCTTGTCGGTTGCTCGACTCCCAGGGTGAGACAGATTGTGCAGGGAGGAGAAAACTTTGCGGCGGAGAGATGGCGGCACAAATGGACGATGGGAAAGGGTGGATACGTCGCATAAGATGATGCCGTTGCCAGTTGTCAGTGGTAGTTCCTGAAGTTGGAGTCCGCAAACATCCTCATCACAGGGTGGACCGACACGACGTTGTTCAGCGGCCATCTCAGCGAGGTTTATCCCGAGTGAAAGCTGAAGATGAACAATAGAGGGCCTGGACAGTGCGTCAGCCACCTCATTGCGTGACCCGTCGATGTGGCGGATATCTGAGGTAAACTGGGAGATGTAGTCCAGTTGGCGGATTTCCCGGGGGTTTAGTTAGTCAGTGTGGGAGCGAAGTGCAAAAATCAGCGGTTTGTGGTCAGTGAAAACGGTGAAGTCACGACCTTCAAGGGAATGCCGGAAATGCTTCAAAGCCAGGCAAATGGCAAGTAGTTCACGGCCAAAGGTACTGTAGCGTGCCTCAGCTGGTAAGAGCTTTTTGGAGAAAAAGGCACGTGGTTGAGTCAAACCAGCAAGGTGTTGTTGAAGGACTGCACCTACGGCTACAGTCGAAGCACCTACCATCAGAGACAGCTGAGCTTCGGGAGCGTGATGTGTGAGTAAGGTGGCATCAGCAAGGGAATTCTTGATGCTCTCAAAAGCAGTCAGTGCTTCACCAGTCAGCTCGAGGGGACCAGAAAGCATGTTGGTGAGCGGCAACATGAGATCAGCACAGTTCGGTAGGAACCGGCGATAAAAGTTCGCCATACCAAGAAACCGTTGCAACTGACGCTTCGAGGTAGGGGATGGAAAGTCCCGAATGGCGGCAACCTTTGAGGGAAGAGGCCGAATGCCGTGGGAGTCGACCAGATGACCGAGAAATTCTAGGGAGGGCACACCGAAGACGCACTTGGACGGGTTGAGAACAACGCCATATTGTTGAAGGCGGTCAAACACCGTTGTAAGATGTTCCATGTGTTCTTCGGCAGTGGAGCTGGCTACCAGAAGGTCGTCGATATAGGCGTAGACAAATGGTAGGCCGCGAAGCACTCTGTCTACAAATCTTTGGAAGGTCTGGGAGGCGTTGCGAAGTCCAAACGGCATGCGCAGGAACTCAAAGAGGCCAAAGGGGGTGGTAACGGCCGTCCTCGAAACGTCTTCTGGGGCTATAAGAATTTGGTGGAAAGCACGGACCAGATCGATTTTCGAGAATACAGACTTGCTGAAAAGGACACCGGCAAAATCCTGAAGATGTGGGACAGGATAGCGGTCCGGGACAGTAACGTTGTTCAGGGCCCTGTAATCACCGCAGGGGCGCCAGTCACCAGTGGCGGCCTTTGGAACCATGTGGAGGGGTGAGGCCCATGGGCTTTCAGACTGACGGATGATGCCCATTTGAAGCATGTGCTCGAATTCGGCCTTAGCGGCAGCAAGACGTGAAGGCGCGAGACGGCGGGGGGCGAGAAAACACGGGAGGGCCGGCGGTCCGAATGTGGTGAACAACGTCATGTGGTGGAATAGAAACGTTGAAGTTGGGACGAGTGAGGCCGGGGTATTTGGCGAGGAGTTGCCGAAATAGATTCTCCGGTTCAGGGTCCAGGACGACAAGATGACGGGAGGCGTCGGAGGAAGAGATACCCCGGACAGTGAGGTTGGTGGTCTTGTCGTGTAGACGTGACTGACGGCAGGCGACCAGAAGATCGAAAGCGGCGAGGAAATCTGCACCGAGAATTGCACAGGGGATGTCAGCAACGACGAAGACCCAAGGGAAGAGACGCCGGAGACCAATGTCCAGAGAGAGGGAGCAGGTGCCAAATGTGGTAATCGGCGATGTGTTGACGGCCTGTAGGAAAAGACCGGGATTGGGACACCGACGATCAGCTGGTGTGGGTGGAATGACACTTAGCTGGGCACCAGTGTCAGCCAAGAAACGTCTGCCACTCCTGGTGTCGCGGACGTAAAATGTGTGACCAGGGTTAGAGCTGTCAGAAAGATTGGCTGCACAGACGTTCGGGTTGACCGGTTTTACCCGTTTGCTGTGCTTGGAAGTGAAGGAGCAAGGAGAGATGCAGTGACGGGCTTTAGCACCCAAGGTGGTGTGGTACCAGCAGGTGGCAGCTGCGTTTGGACGGGCTGAATGAAAAGACTGGACATGCGGGGTGGACGGCTTCGGTTGGCTCCGAGTTGAGGTACAAACTGTGGGCTTCTGGAGAGCGGCTATATCATCGGCCAGCTTGTTGAGCTCGATCTCTAACTGCGAAACGGGAGACGCAGGAGGAGTTGAGGGAGTTGAGAGTGCTGAAATAGACGGCTTGGAAAAACCGTGCATCTCCATAAGCCGATCGGCCATTTGAGTAAGTTGCGTGGCCGAAAGAATGCCGAAGGCGGGTGCCAAAATATGTTGCACTTCTGGTGGAAAATTGTCCATGATCAACGCCTGACTTTGTCTTAGATTAGTAAGAACGAAGATTGCTGTTCGTAAGGAGTCACCAATTGTGGAAAGTAGTGTGGTCGACAAGTTAAAGATTCCCAATCAAAAGTCAGGGAAGACGGTTTTGAGTTGGATAACCTTTACTGCCTGAGGAAGCGCGTACACAAGGGCTCTGTAGGCAGTTGCCGCAAGCGCGCTCCAAGCAAGCTGTTGTCTGAGTCCGCTTTCGAGGTGTTGTCTTAGCGCGTGTGTGCGCCCTTCGTTGTCTCCACATCGCCAGCCACTCAGAGTGGGGACAGCGTTGATTGGCTTCGAGCACTCGCGCGGCCCAGCAGCGCATCGACATGGAGTGTGAGGCGGACAGGACGGCAGCATGACAAAGGCGGAGGGTGAGGAGACGCGAACTGCTACAAGTTACCCCTTCATACTCCGACCTATTGCAATTCATATTTGTATTACACAATTTAAGTTGAATGCGCTTTCTTTTAGAAGTTGTGGACGATGTCGACAATACTCCCCGTCCAGGGCCGTCTGGCTCCTCATCCCAGCCGTAGAAGGGCATGGGTGGACATATTAACTGAGACAATTTTAAATCCTTCCATAATAATTACTTTGTGCCAGATTTTCCATAATCTTTACTATATACCTGTACATTTCCACATAATTACGCGACTAACTGACCTCTGCAGTAAAGTCGACAGTTTAGAAGCACAGGTCTCAGACGTCATGTAGCCGCCTTCATATCGCTACCAGTTGAGGAAGTACGAGCATGGCAGCAATTGAGTTTGCTGGCCGCCTACGACCGTCTGTGCGCGGCGTTGTCAGACGGGCGATACAGACGTCGACTGGCAATTTATTTATTATGCATAAACACTTCGTATGGATATGTTACTTGTCCGGGGCATTTGCTGGTCGTATTTTCTCCAAACTGCTCACGGAAGATGTGACGGATTTTTGACATTCTATGGGAAAAGACCGGGAAGTAGAGCCTTCTTTGGGTCCCCAATCTACGACCTGATCCTCAGTAAGACTTGTACTTTGTGTGCACTAACCTTTTACCCCCCAGACGTCTTCAATAAATGGTCATGCATCCGATAGACAAAAACTGGAGGCGTCTATTGACGTCCTTTTCGGGGGACGCATCGACCTCGACGACTGAACAGTGGCACAGTTATTTTGAGGAGCGTCCGATGTCCTTCCTAACTGAGGTGGATGTAACCGCACGCGACCTGCTGCGATCCTGGGCAGTTAGTTCGAAAATACCCCACCATCATCTGACCAATCTGCTGAAGATTATGAGGCAGATGAAGCCAGAGATGTCAAGCATGCCCTTGGACGCACGAACACTTCTCGGCAAAGCAGGCTATCGGCCACCGGTAACGGCATTGGGCGGCGGTGAGTACGTTCACTTAGGACATATAAACCAGTTGTCTGAGCACTTACGTGCCTTTTCCATGCATGTGGTGGGCGATGAGATAGTAGCTTTGTTGTCCATCGCCGGTCTTCCTATTCATTAGAAGACCAAAAGAGAATTTTGGCCAATTTTAGGCAGTATTATCCAGCCCTTTTTTAGTCATATTTTTGCAGTAGGAATTTATTGTGGGCAGGGAAAGCCGCCCGATGTTCAGTCATTTTGCAGACCTCTGGTAGAAGAGTTAAGAATCCTGGCAGCAATTTCTGGTCTGAATGTCGACGCATCGACAGAGCTCTGCAGTTCCGCCTGGCAGCCGTTATCTGTAATGCGCCTGCTAGGGCATTCATCAGGCAAATGGAAAGCGTTAATGCATACTGCGGTTGTGAAAGGTGTTGTGCAAAGGGCTAATACCTTGACAAAGTAGTCTATGACAGTGTCTCTGAGCCTGCTGATGGCAGTCATCTATTTGGTATTACCCCGTTGCTAGCTTAGGACTTGTAAAGTAGTTGACTGAGCAGTTAAGTGCCTTTTCCATGCCGGTGCCCTAATAGCAAGGGAGCCCGCCAACTGTAGGGGTGGGGGGGTAGTGGGTCTTTAGCCAGCTCCCGATCCGATTGGTTCTTGGGTCGACTGCGCCGGCGTCGCGAAGGCGGCAAGCGGCCGCGTATACTTGCGCTTGATTATCGATTAGCTTCGGCGCCCGATGGTCCTCACGCTCTCCACGGTGCCACTTTTAGCTTTCTCACGCTGCAGTGCGCACGCCGTGTCTCGCTCAACGCTGGCATTGCCAACCCTACCTGTCTTTGTGTTCTCCTTTGTCCCCTTTTACTCACAATTATGTTTAATTCTGTTAGCAGGCGTAATCGCCGGCGTCAAGCACGAAGGGAAACTGAAAAAATGATAAGAAGAATCAGCGAAGAGGTGAGGGAAATGCCGTCGTCGGACACATCATCTAGTAGTTGGTCGGAAAGCGTCACGGATGAGTCTATGTCCTCAATTTCGCTGGAGTAAGAACGCTCTTCGTTGGAGGGTACCAGTGCGTCTACGGACAAGGAAGTTGGTTCAGTGGCAGTAGAGGCATCCAACTCCCTGCCGTCAGCTGTTGAAGCGCCCATTGTGCAACGAGTCAGCACAGTGGGCGGATATGACGAACTGACGACCGGAGTGTCCGACGCTACGTACAGGCGGAATTCGGTAAACAGTGTTTGTTATTTATAACAACCGGATTCAGGTTGCCTACCTGTCCGCCATGGGAGGTGACACAGTAACTGCCTTCGCGGAGAGATTATTCTTCACCCTGTTTTCTGAAGACGTCGCGGAGTTTCTTACGTTTTATGGAAGAAAGGCTGGGACTCGGGGCTTATTTGACAGTCCCGTTTACTCTGTCATCCTGGGTAGGATTTGCGATTTGCCCAACTAAACAATTGCATTTTAGAAGTTTTCAATGGGTGGAATAAAGACCACCATTCGGACCGCCAAAGGCTTGAAAATGCATTTAAGAAGGCACACGATCGGCATCAAAGAAGGTGATTCAACGGCAGAAGTAGAGAAGGAGGATTCAAACGCACGCGAAAGTCTGCGCAAGTGGGCTTTACGCTCACAAACGCCTCACCTCCATTTGAACGACCTGCTTAAGGCTTTGAAACCGTGGTTGCCGGACCTCCCAGCTGACGCACGAACTCTGTTGGGCGCGACAAACCTCTCTGCACCGATCACAGCGAAGGGCAGTGGTGAGTACGTGCATTTAGTACTTGTAGCTCAGCCAAACGCCTAGTTGCGTACTCTGGCTCTTTCTCTTTCGGTAGAAGAAATAGTTATATGCCTAGCAATAGATGGTCTTCTAATTCACTAAATGACATGGACACGTGGAAGGGTACCGAACTGCGCCAATTCTTGCTTGTACACCGGCGTTGTTTTTCTTAATGGTGTGCTTCCACGTAAGTTTTGGAAGCGCTTCTTACTGCTCTTCACAGCAGTACGCTGCTTAGTACGGACAGGCAACGGGCTCCCTTTTGTAGCTGTGTATTGCGAATGGTTGTCGATAGCTTTTCGTCATTCTGTTCTGCGAAAATTCCCACATTACAGTTGAAGAGTCAGTTGGCAAACATATGTTTTCGGTAATTCATCATCAGGCCGGTACATTTACATTGGTAATGATCAGTCTA